TGATCACACAGCTGGTCCGCTATTATCTCTGCTTGCATGGGACCGGGACGAGCAAACACGAGGCACGTCGGCCGCAAAGATATCAGCTGTGGTGCAACCTAAGTTCATAGCGTTTTGTATCAAGATGCATTTTGCTATGAAAGTGCATGAAACTAAAGTTAACAACGTTCCGTTTTCAGGGGAAGGTCTTTGGAGTCACAGTCAAGCACATCGCCTATAGGTTCTGCTAAAGTTGATTGATGTAGTTAATAACTTCAACAGTAATGACTGTTAGTCTGCCCAGCATATGCCATCAGCCAAAGCTCAGATGTATTTGATTGAAGAAAACCACAAAGGTGACTAGCAATGCCAAACGAACAAGAAGAAAGACTTTAATCACATCTCAGCTAGAGTTGTATTTAAGATCTAATGGGACCAAAACTAAGCTCAACGAAAAGCCCTATCTTTGACGCAAACACGGTATGAAACAAAAATCAGACATGCCTATTTTTATCTGAACAGCCTATTGTTAGGGTGGATTTGAGGGCAGCACCATTGGCATGTTTTTCATGATGGATGATTGGACTTGGACATCCTCTGGTATACTGGCAAGCCACCAATAACTCATTAACAATGAAATGGAAATGTGAAAAAAAAAAAGAAACAAAAGATGAACTAAACAGCAACATTGACAGACTAGGACAAGATACACCCAAATTAATGACAGTTCACACTATGAATGACACAGACTGTGTCTGAGTCTAACGGTCGATTGTACAGAGCCAAACAAGGTGACAAGCTGAACAGGTTAGAGAGCAAACCACTTCAATGGCGACATCTAGTGGTCAAGAGTGAGAGTTACTTGGCAGACATGCACCTCCCGACCTATGGCCTCAGCATGGACACTTTTCTTACAATAATTCATAATTACATTTTAGAAAACAGTAAATATAGTCAATGTTAGCATTTTTGCTATTTTATGCATGTTTGCGTAAAGTCTTCCATATCTTTAAAGGGTAATTCCACTGGTGGAGACATGAATATGTATTGAAAGTGGGTCATATATGTAGTCGAATAGTACCAGACATTTCTAATTTGGGTCATTCTTGGCCGATAGAAGGCAGAAAATGACTTTTTAGTGCTTGTGGATTGTAGACAACAATCCCCATAGTGCATTGCAATGTTCAGCTCCGCAGGCTACTCCCACTACTCCACCCATCAATGTAGACTAGAGTTGAGCTCTACTCTACGTCCATAATTATCAAAAAGTTTCTGCCGGTGAAATCAAACGCACTGGCACTGATCTGTGATTGGTCTGTTAGCAAATTAGGTCCAACCCCCTATGGGCGGGTTTAAAAGGGTGGGATCTAATGCTTGTAGTCTTTACAGAAATCCCCCTCTTTTTACACTTCCTCCTACAATGACGGAAAATTACGATTTTTGTCATTGTAGGAGAAAGTGAAAAAAGAAAATAGTGGATTTCTCTCGTCTGGTTGCACAATCATCAGTAGTATGACTGGATTTCTAACAATGGAAATCTTAATGCAAATGGATGGAGTGTCCCTTTAAGAATCTTTTCTTGCCAATGCAGGGTTTAGCTTGTTCAGTATTGTGTGAGTGTGTGTAAATACAAAACATTTAAAATAATAACGTTATATATATTATATTTCTAGTAACCAATAGTTGACTCAAGCTTTATCCATCATAGTGCTAAGAAAAATCGTAATGATAGCAGCTTCTAAAGTGGATAATGATATTAGGCCTAAAAATAAATACAATACCTAAACTCAAGTTAATTAAACAGGATCAGTCTTCTGAATGGAGATTTCCTCATATTTCCCAGCTGAGGAAGGATCGTTCAAATTGGGGTGAACCAGGAAGAACCAAAGAGCGCTGAAATGACAAAATTGTTGTAATTAGTGCAATTAAGAGTTCTGGATTTAAAATGGCAGGCAAATAAGCATTTCAATGATTGCTGGCTTCTTCATGCTCACAATTACACACGGAGGACTACCCTAATAACAAAACCATCTCATTATTCCTTTTGACTTTCATTCAGTCCAGCTTTATGGTCTTCTCTAAGCAACATGGCAGTACTTCAACTTAGGTGTTTATCAGAGAAAGAATATTTGATTTGTTAAATAGGCAAGGGCCTGTTTTTCACCCAGTGTTCACCTAAACCCAGTATATTACCACCGGTAGGCTATATTATGGCATATGGGTATAAATATCTACTGCATAAAAGGAGTTAATTTGCTTTAGTTCATATTAGTTTGTACCATTCATACACACAAACTAGGGTTGTATCACCTTAATCTACCAAAATGGTCAAAAGATGCGTTGCTATTCAAATCATATAGGCTAAGCAATCAAATGTACATTCATGATTGTTTGTTTACTTGTTTATTGATTTGCATTTAATCGTATAACACATACTTACAAACTTTTCACCAACGTCACATTCTGGGCGGTAACCCGGATGAGCGGCCATTATGGAGGCACTCGGATGTAAACAACGCATGGACTGCACTGTTTATGTACTACTGAACACATTGTTACACTAAAGAAACACATAAAAAACCCGTGGTAGCCCTATTCAACTTTAGCTTCTTTTTTTATTTATTTTTAATCAGTGAGCAGGATCACTTTGACATGAGGATAAAACTTACGAAGAGTGGCAAGCCATAGGAGAGTCAACGACAGGAAAATAACCTTTTTTTGTGAACAAAAATATTGTCTCTTTCTTTTAAATGGCCCTGGGAATTTTAGAAAAGGGGTAAATTGTGTTTGTCTTCATTAAATGGTATGTAGGACACTGTTCTGTAGCTGTATGATGACCAATTGTGGAAAATTTACTCACCCCCATGTCATCCAAGATATCCAAGTTATTCTTTCTTCAGTCGAAAAGAAATGAAGGTTTTTGATGCATTTTTCTACATATAATGCCCTTCACTGGGAACCAAACGGTTCAAGGTCCTAAAGACAGTTTCAGTGCAAAACTGCAAACTGTTCAAAGGGCTTTAAACGATTCCAGACGATGAATAAGGGTCTTATATCTTATAAGACACTTGAGTAAACACTCGTGTGTTTTGTGTCTATCAACCTTTTCCACACACATATAAATAATAACTTGTACTCATCGCTTTGTCCATTTCAGCAAATGAAGTTTTGTGAAGGCCTCTCCTGTTTTGTTTCAACACGCGCGTGCACCCCCTGCTGGTAAAGCCGACTAACAGCAGATGGTACGGTGGCCGAAAGGTGCAAAACAAATGTTGTGTTTTCTGAATTGTTATTTTGTTTTCTGAATTGTCGTTGTGTTTTCTGACTTGTTTTTTTGTTTTCATATTTGTGATTTGTTTTGCACCTCTCGGCCACCGTAAGATGGAGAGTATGCTCGGTAATCTATTGCTTTTCCTGCAGTTCCTGGACGTCACCGTTGAATTTACTGTCGAATTTGAACCACTGACTGAATTTGTGGAAGCGAATTTTCAAGGCGAAATAAAATGGACCGAAAATTGCCTGTTGAACATTATACGTTGTATTTTTAAACAGTTTGAAAATTTTGGAAGTCAAATATGAAAGGTGAATATGCATTATTGAATTTTTAATAATGAAAATGTGTTTGAAATGTTTTTAAATGAAATATTCACAGCTTAAATATTCAACCATATTGAATTTCAGTCCATAAAAATGCAAGCCTTAAAAATACAATGGATTAAAATGCAATCATGGTTAACGCAATGTATTTTTTTTTCAATTGGTGCAATTCAACATGCTTTTTGTTTCAAAGAAATTTGACATTATTTTACTTTCATAGTTACGTCAGGAGTAAATCAGCATATTTTAATGATTTCTGAAAGACCGTGACTGAAGATGATGCTGAAAATCACGAGAAAAAAATACATTTTAATATATATCCAAATAACGTTTTTAAATTGTAATAGTATTTTACAGTATTGCTGTTTTTACTGTATTTATTATCAAATAAAAGCAGCCTTGGCGAGCATCTTCTTTCCAAAAACATAATCATAACAACCCCAAACTTTTGAAAAGTAGTGCACATTTATTACACCTAGAAAATAAAAAACAATTACCACTAGATGCAGCTCACTATATAAAGTCTGATCAAAAGAAGTTTTATTTAGAGTTGATAAACTTTTGTGGACTCTTTCTTTCTGAGGTTTTTTTCTGAAATTACTTTCTTTTCTCTGAAGCCTGCAGTGTTTTAGACTCTTTCCAGAAGTAGATATCATGTTCCACCTAATCAAAATAACTTTTCATAACCAGTTAGTGCAATGCAGTTAGGCTAAACTGTTAGTTTGCTCCCTAAAAACACAAACAACACAATAAAAAAATGACATCATATATGGCTATATACGTCAGAGATCGCACGCCTCTGGAGCAACTAGGGGTTAAAGGGATAGTTCACCCAAAAATGAAAATTAAGTCATTATTTACTCACCCCCATGCTGTACCAACCCCAGAAGACCTTTGTTCATATTCGGAACACAAATGAAGACATTTTTGATTAAATCTGAGAGGTGGATCACTGCTACATCGGCACCCTAAGGGATTGAAACTTGACGGCCCAGAAAGTCATCGAAGAAAATGTTTAAATATTCCATGTGACTACAGTGGTCAACTTTAAGTTTATCAAGCGACGAGAATACTTTTTGTGCAAAAAAACAACAAAAATAATGACTTTATTCGATTATTCCTTTTCTTCCTTCTAGGCCTGAGACGAGAGTTCAAGAGATTTCCACGACGCATGCGCAAGAACTGAACAAGAAATAGTAGAAAAATAACGTAAGTATTCAATGAAACTTAATTTTCATTTTTGGGTGAACTAACCCTTTAAGTGTCTTGCTCAGGGACACATTGGTGTCTCATAGTGGATTCAAACCCGGGTCTCTCACACTAAAGGCATGTGTCTTATCCACTGCGCCAAACAGGGCAACTAGTGAGTGGAATGAGATTTTTTTTTTCTAGCTTGGGCCATTTGATCTCAACATAAACTCATCTCATTGTGTAAGAAATGGCCCAACTTTGCAGGTAACACAACTTTGCAGGCCCCTTTTGTATTTATCTCCCTTCAAGATTGAATCTATCAGTCGGTCGCTCTTATCAGAGAGCCAGTATCCAGCCATGGCCGCCACGGCCCCCATAAAGATGGAGGTGAACACCAAGTCCCCTTTAGCCGCCAACGTGGCCAACGCACACAACACCACCCCGAAGAACATCTGCTGCAGAACCTCCACTTCATCCTCCTGAATGTCATCCAAAAAACCCTTTTCAGCAGAATCTGAGAAAAGATACAGACCATATAAAAAATGCAGTGTCGTTGAAATATATAGAATACAGAATATAGATATCAATGAGCCATTTCTTTTTGTTTTTTAAGAATATTGTGCATTGATGGATTATGCACTGCAATTGGAAAACATTTACATTTATGTAACTAAAGTTATATTTTATAAATATATTTTCGGTAAGACTTTAACATTGTTGACATCGCAACTAACAAAAGTCTTTATTAATCCATAATTTATGTTAATTTCAACATTTATTACATTATTAAAATCAAATCACAGCATTTAACATTAGTTAATGCACGGTGAACTAACATGAACAAACAATTAACGACTATTTTTATTAACTAACTCAAACAACGGTTAATAAATGCTGTAAAAACAATATCGCTCGAAGTTAGATCATGTTAACTAATGTATTAACTAATGTTAATGAATGAAACTTTCACTTTTGTTGAACAGCGTGTCGGCTCCCAAGACAATAAAGTTGCGTGTAGTGTAGTACAGGGACAGGCAAGTCAAGAACTCAAACTGAATGAATATGAAATGAATACTTACTCTCATATTATGTAACAAACAAGCACAATACACTCATATTATATAACAAGCACAATACACTGAGTTACATGAAACTGCAAAGGTCTTTTGGGCCAGATCTAATTCAGCGTTTGAAGTTCACAGCAGGCTTTTATAGTTTACTAAATCTAAAACCACAATAAATATTTTGGTTACACTTTATTTTAAGGTGACAGTTGCATTGTACTTACTCAAATAAGTACTCAGTAATATCAATTAACTACATGTACTTACTATAGAGTTACGGTTCATCTAGATTCTAGAGTAGATGTGCTACACTCATTATCGAGTGATCTACCAGCGTGAGTTACGTCACTACACTGCATTCATTAATCCTCTCCTGTGGCCTCATGGGACAGTAAAGTGTCCATCGTATGCGCACTTCAGATTCTCACAGGAAGAAGTAGGTCATCCGGGTTCTTTTTGAGTACTGTGAATCTTTTGTAACATACTGTTTTTCGCCAACTATATATTAGAGAAGTGTGCGATTTGGGATTCAGCTCACCTGAGGCCTGGCTCCTCTCACAGGTGTTGCCGGTGCGTGTGTATCCGCCTGCACACTGACAGTGAAAAGACCCCTCTGTATTCACACAGAAGACATTGACACCAGGACAGGCCAACACCTCCTCAGCACACTCGTCTATATCTGCAGGAGAAACACTCAGCTGTCTTTTCTCAAACGCACACAACCAGATATGATGCCAAATGAAATATTACGAGGAGAAAATATGAACATCTTGACAATTATAAAACAAAGACATTCATATTGTTGCAATATACTAATGATAAAAAAAATATTTTTTTAAAGTATTAGAAAGGAGTAACGATGGCGAAAGGATGGCTCATTTAAAAAAATGTACGTTTTATAAGCTCAAATGCTCGCCTTGCTCTGTTCTGTGACGCACCTTCGTGACTCTCTTGTTCGAACTCGTTCATCAAAATTTTTTTCGAGTCATTTGGTTCATTCAACAAACAAAATGAACGAATTGACTCGGAAAAAGATTCGTTCATTTTGATGAACGAGTTCGAACAGGAGAGTCACACAGAACAGAGCAAGGCAAGCATTTGAGCTTATAAAACGTAAAAAAAAAATTTAATGAGCGATCGTTTCGATTGATAAAACCCTTATTCATCGTCTGGAATCGTTTAAAGCCCTTTCAACAGTTTGCACTGAAACGGTCTTTTGGACCCCATTGAAGTCCATTATATGGAGAAAAATCCTGGAATGTTTTCATCAAAAACCTTAATTTCTTTTCGACTGAAGAAAGAAAGATCTTGGATGACATGGGGGTGAGTAAATTATCAGCCAAAGTTTTTTTTAAATGTGAACTATTTTAACTTTCTTGCTGGAAACACGTACTGCATTATAGCCACAGGATGGTAGCATTTCATGCAGAAGAACTAATTTGTGTTATTAACTAAAAGATTCATTCTCTGTTCATAGACTTTTCTTGAACAGGAGCAAATGTATTCACATGTATTTATCTGATTAAGACATTTTATTTATTTAATTTTATGAATGTCTTTTTTTGTAAATTTTAATCATTGATTTTCATTGAATCATTATTAATTGTTATATTCCTTATGTTGCATTTTTATTATTTTACATGTTATTCATTCATTTATATATTTTCTACTATATGCTCTGTTTGATTATTTCCGAATGTAAGATCTTTGATGTATCTTCTGTGCTGTAAGATCGAGCGGGTATATTTTCCATCAGAATGTAATATCCGATGTACCTTTGTATCAAAATATCTGTTTCCATCTCTGCAGACAGGAGATAATGCAAGATCTGCAATATTCTCTTGAACAACACTATCTATTTTCACCTCTATTTGACATTTGACCTATAGCGTTACACCAACTTTGACATGATGGATAAATCGGTTTGAGCTTTTCTTATAGACCAAAGCATGAGTTGAGGATTTAAGTTTCCTGCATTTATATTCATTGCTCTTGTTTTGCTCTTCACTTCTGCCTCTCCTTTCATTCTTCAAATATCTTTCTACTTTTGGGTCCTTCTTCCTCAGTACTCGTCTGTTAGATTCAGTACTCTGGATTTAATTTTAAACTATTGAATAAGATAGATGCTATTTCTTGTTTACAAGTACAATTTTCATATTTACTTCATTCATTTGTTGTCGTTATCATTTTTACTAAATACATTTTTCCTTTTTCAATTTTGATCTTTGAAAAAATCATTGCTTGTCTGGATCTCATTGCATCAGAAACTATAATATAATTTAAATGATTTACTCCTGCTATTAATATCTTTACATTGTTCAGCCGAACAAAGCAGATCTACCATGGGACTTTCAACTTTAGAATAGAATTAGAATTTCAGAATCTTAATTAAAAATTCTGTTCTTTTTGTTCTTACATTTACAACAATGTTTGTCCAAATTGTCGTCAAAATTCGGCCGACAAGAATCTCAAATGTCTTTCTCAGAATCTCTTTCTCAGATTCTTTCTCTGGGAAATCTTAATTACTTAAAAAAATTGAACTTTCTTTTCTCTACAGCCTTCAGCGTTTTAGACTCAATCATGAAGTGACTGAGAATATCATGCATTCTCTGGCTGTACAACATTCTGTTCTTCTGTTCAAAGCTTCTGAACAGTCAGAGAATGCATGATATTTACTTCTGGAAGGAGTCTAAAACGCTGCAGGCTTCAGAGAAAAGATTTTTTAGGTAACTTGAGATCAAACCTGAGAAAGATTCGAGTCCTCAAAAGTTTATCAACTCTAAATTCACCATGATATCAAAATGGACAATTCCAATTCAATTCGTTTATGGAATATTGCAGTAAATGGTTCATCCATAATTGTTTTTAATTTACTATTAACCTTTAAGGCTGAATGGGCAGGGGAAATAATGGATTCATTTTATACTCCAGGTTATATTTTATACTTCAAAGACTGATAAACGACACTATAGTTATATGTACAACTCACCTATGCATCTTATCCCTGATGACCTGAAACCAGGAGCACATTTCTTACAGCGGGCAGCTCCTCCACCCATACAGCCAACACAGGCCTTATCACATCCTGGAGAAATCATAAAACAATATAAGCAAAATTAAATGAAAACGGTGTAATCAAGAGTGTTAATCCGTGTGTGTTAATGATAAAATACCTCTGAGAGGAAATCTGACCTTTGCATTCATAAGAGCCATGGGTGTTCAAGCAGTACGTGTTGTCGGGACACCGATCCAGATCAGTACCACATTCATCAATATCTGTCAACGTAAAAGAAGTGAACCTCTGAATGAAATATGGGGCATGAGGTGAATCAAGCGCACACTGCTGATCATCTTACCTACACACAGGTTGTCATGCAGGATGAATCCGCTTTGGCACTGAAGACATTGGTCTTTCTCTGGCCCTCCACATGCCTTGCAGTGCTCTGAGCAGTTCTGACCCAAAATGAGACGAAAAAGGGCCACGACGAGCACAGTAGACAGGAAGAACATCCGTGAGCGGGACATCACTCTCCACGCATCAGTGCAACCCTTCAGACTCACACTTTCTCACACAAAGTAGCCTATAAGCTGATACGGACCCGCTCGAAATAAAACTCCTTATGAAGTCTGAGGATTTTAAAAACAGGAGTTTGTTTGAGGATAAAAAATTCAATTTCATTTACAAAAACTTTTACCAATTTTAAGGTGTGATCTTTTATCCAAAGCAGCTTAATTATATTATTTAAAGTGTTTGAGGTGTAAGAACTGTCTTATCAACTACGATTTTAGACATTAGCTTAACTGTTATTTCAGTTGTTTCTAATAATTTATGTCAAAACATAAAATTCTATTTATATTGGTGCTTGACTTATATTTACTTTTTATACTTTTTGGAGCGTGCGTGAGTAAGTTATATGGAGATTTGGTAACACTTTATTTTATGTTGATGTTAGTTAGGTTACTACTATTAATAGCAGTCTAAGTAAATTATGCATAATTACAAGTAAACCCTAAATCAAATCCTAATCGTAAATAGCAAGTAGGCTAAATGAATGCACTAGCACAATGTAACTACGTCACCTTAAAATAAAGTGTACTATAAATTTTAATTACTTTAAAACGAAAGCGATAAGCAGAACGCTAAAGTCCAGCATGGAATTCATATTTGAAATACTCACAAACATGCGACATGAGAATATGAGAAGTGGTCGGGATGTCCGTAAAACCAGTTTTTCCAGTTTCCGTTTTTTGGGATCAGGACGGAACAAACTCTCTCTCTCTCACACACTCTCTCTCTCTCTCTTTCGCTCTCTCACCGCAGTTTGATGGATAATTACAAATTCTTGTATATGAATATTGCTATTGCATAGGATATTCCAGCATCGACTGATAAACGCTAATTGCTCATTAAAATATACGGGGTGCCGTGACAATCCTTTGGTGATGAGTTGGCTCATGAATATTTCGTCTTCGCTAAACTAACAACTGTTTCCTATGGGAATCACAAATGGTTGACCAGCGCGGAGAAAAATAACACACACCACATGACTAACATCGGCTAAGCACTGCTTCAGGGTCATTCTGGGGTTTTAACCTCTAGGCTACAAAAGAAAAAGTCTCTGGTTTTTAAACACACAATAAAGATTTAAAATCGAACAATAATTATTGTTTAGATCAATTATACCTGACTTGCGATTCACCAAGTCTTTTTCTCTGTTTTAAAAGAACTTCTCTTCAGTCATGAACGCGCATAACCAGTGCAGCCGGACATCGCGCGCGACACACACACTTCTCAAGTAACAGGATGTATTTTTAGCAGGTCTGGTGGTGTACAATATTTGAATGCTGCCTGTTCCCCTTCTTATCTTCTTTTTATAGACTTGCCTGATGGTTAGTCTTGTCTAAGTTGGTGTTTGGCCAGTCAGACCAGCATGGCCCAAACCTTTTTAAACCAGCAAACAGACTGTGAAACCAGAGAAGTCAGCCC